GATTCAAACAGTAATCGATTCACCATCAAGGATGGGACCCACTCGGAATAAACTTTGCTCTTTTGCACACCAAGATACAGGGAAAGGATTTCCATCCCAGCACACAGTACACTGGATCAGGTAATATTTATGGTATGCGACTCGCAATACAATTGTGAGCGAATCTAAGAGAAGCATATCAATGGTTTATTTTTTTATTCACATTGATATTAGGCACATGAATGAATACTTCATGAATCTCCGTAGATCTGCATCATTCTGAGCCAGATGTGTGCACTTTGCTGGATAACAATGCGGTGATTATACATTCTTAATTGAGAGAAGTCGACTGTTAACAAAGCTGAAAGAAAGGTAAAAAGGATTTGTTAGAAATAAAAGGCTTTTAGTGATTTTTCAAGATACCCACTGCAATCATAACTTCGTCGCTGGAATGATACAGATCAGCGAAGAATTAAAAGAGTTATCTCGCGCTTAGAAAAATCGTCTAGTTTCCCGTTCACTAGGCGGGAAGAGCACCGCCGGTAAACTAAAAGTCCCGTACGATGCCTTATTCATTAGAACCAGCAAAATCAAAATTTACGTCAACGGACTTTGTCGTAAAATCCTTTCCATCGCGTATGATATTATCCTAATTTTTTTAAGTTTCGTTCAATTCAGGTAGTTGACGGAGGCAATTCCTAAGTCGATGAATAGACTTTCGTTCACTGTGCAATCTACAACGGTTCTTGTCGGATAAAGCTTAAATATTAGTCGTTTTGAAGCCCTAGGGCAATATTCGCTGTACCCAGTAATAGGCCTTTGATAAAATATGGGACAAGTCTGAGTCAGATCAAAATAGACTGTGACTGATGACTGTATGTCATACGGTGGGGGAATGCCACTGACTGGAGCTGACTCATTATGCCACGTGAGCGACGTGGGGATTTATCCGGTCTGTTGTGCTCCAAGTCCGGATATCACACTGAAGATTCACATCGTGTTTGTCCCTCTTAGAACGCATACACAGCCATTTATCTGCTGAAGGCAGACCCCAGTTGGCAGTATGCGACCAAGGTAATTGAAATTTAGCTAATTTGATTTGTTAAGCTAACCGAAAAAAATGCGACATGAAGAAGACCAATTGGGTAGATAGCGAATACAGGTAACACAATTCCCATCAGGCAATGAAGCTACCCCACACTAAATACATAATTGATCGAGAGGACTATTTGAATCACGCTTACATAGTTGTAATTTAACCTTGCATGATAACCCTTATGGAATTCAAATACCGACTAAGGCGCATTATGCAACCCGATAACCGAAGCATATGCATTCTGCTTTGGGTTCACGTGATGCTCGAATATGTTGATGATGGTCTGACGTGCAATCAAAATGTGGGAATCGAGAAAATAACACCACAAGAAAACGAGGAATTTCGATATTCCAGGAACAAGAGTGAGCAGCCAAAAACAGGTAAATCCATGCTCCTTGAACCACCGAACCCGCTTGCCAATAGTGAACTAAATTCCGCAAGTGAATGTTGTGAAATACATTTGCGGACTCTTTATCACAAACGGTTTCTTCCACTTTATCTGGTACATTTATAACTAGTTAGCAGCTTGCTTTCAAGTAATTTATAAGATGCACTGTATTTTTTTGAATTCCGATGAAGACCTGAGAAGACTCCTAGTTCATCGACCAGAAATTCAGTACAAATAGTTCGTGCGTGAAACTAAGTAACAATTATTTATATGCGAAATGGTGAGGAATATGAAGCTGGAATCTGGAAGGAATACGGTGTCTCACACACAAAATTTGATTGGGAATAATTATTTACATAAAGATGTTCTCCACGCCATTGACGGACTGCGAAATTTCAACTTCGATACGGAGTAAATATTTCTGATATATATTTTTAGGAGCATCAGGCAATCAGCCAAATAAAACGAGATGTTTGTATTGAAAATTCAAGGAAGATGATGAGGAAAGAGCAGCAGTTGTGAAGCCGATACGAACAGCCACAAAATGCTTTTTACTTTGTCTTTTATCATTAAAAGTTTAAGCAATGACCTGTCGCAGACCTTCAACGAAATTGATCGATCTTATGTCGCGACTACTTTTGCTGATAACCAACGAGGAGATCAGGAGAGACAACATTTACTATTTCTTCGTTTCGAAATTGCACGAAATTCCTTATTCACCTGCAGTTCTGCGGATTCAATTGTACCTTCCCATCATCGTTTTAAATGAACACAGTGCGACTGGTTCATCCGTTCCAGACTACCACACAGACAGTTTGTTTATTCACACTTTGCTTCCAGAATTGCACAAATGGGGATATACGGACGTTTCGTGGAAATTCGGAGTGACCGTGTTTTCGTACCCGGCACACGGGAAAAACTGCTTTTACTCGGACTACGTTCTCGTGGTGAACAGTGGTTACTTGGCGGTCACCTGGAAGATTTCCTTGTTTTACAATAAAAAGGCAAGGGTCTGAGAGTAGCACAATTCGGTCAAGACGAAGTAGGTCATTGGTTTGAGAGAGAACTCCCGCGACCGTTATTTGTCACGTCCAGAACTGGGAGATAATCGATCCTCATACAGTCGCGGATAGCAGCATTCCTGGTGGTCCTTGGGGAGATCAAAGAGTTAGCTTGGTACTCCCAAGCAAATCCAAAGTGTTAGACACACCAATTCACTACAAGACACGACCTGTATCCCGATAATAACTTCAATCGTAAGCTAAGTGATAATTAAGTTTGGAATATATCGATAACTAAGAGCAGTGGGAATAACCTATGTTCCCAACATGACTGAGCTTCCATGTTGAAAATTATCCACGCTGACTCAGCAACAAAAGCTTGGCTTCACCATGTGCCGCTTTTGGTATTATTCTTCGTTTACTCTTGTGAAAGCACGTCATTTTACGATAATCATCTCAAAGAAGGTTCCATCAGAAGAATATACCATTTCACGATCGAAATACCTGAAATAGGTATTCGACGCAATATTCATGTAAATAGAGACCATCTGAGTTTACTTTCTAAGATGGAGTTCACGTGAAATATTTGCTGCCATCTACGGGTTGAATCTCACTAACATGTGAAAAGGATTATTAAAAATGTAACTCTTTGGCGTTGGTTCCTTTTTCCCACAGATGTTCAGAAGCTACTGGGAATGTCTGTTCGCCGGCCTACATATAACATTAAGTTACTATTTAAACTGGCGATCATCGTGTTTCCATGACGATGACATTAAGTTACATCTTATAAATGAGCTATTCTCTCAGTATTCTATCTGTTGTCTGTCACACATTCCCTCCCTATAATTTCATTGTCAATATTTTTGACTGCAAAACAATGTTATCAATAAGCAAAATGTCGACGACGCAACTGCCAAATTACCCAACATTCTCGGGTCTCATCCAGTTTATTCTAGGTTTGCATAATGAATATCGTTTCATCCATTCTTATGTAATACAGCTCAGTAGATATTCCTCCTGGTGCTTTCCAAGTGAAGTTCACTTTATCGGGATGTGTACTTATTATTCAATAAATTGTTCCAGCGTCGAGGCTCGGGTGGATCTCGATAATCTCGAACTATCGGATGTCTCAATGTCCCACCCTTTGTGCCGACCCAATATAGCACAATGAGTTGTAGATAAAACAGTATTATTACACATGCTCTAGCTGGCGCAACATTTAAGTGGATGTTTTGTAAAGCTGATTGTATCATAGATGGCCTACACTGAGGATGAAAATTGATAACTGACCGGCATTATGATAATTGTTTTTCTCACTGCATATGTTTCGCATAGACGCTTAGGTCATCTGAATAACTTATTCAGTATTTTATCGCGAACTGTGGATAACATATTGCAAAGATATCTATTTTTTACGTGCATTGAGAACCGAGCAAGTAACTGCAATAGACAAACGTAGGAAAAAGTGCATTACTAATCCCGTGAACAGAATCTACGTGGTTTTCTTTCTGTATGTGAGAAAAATAATGGATTGGGCTTACAGATATTCAATTAGCTCCTTAAATTATGCGGACTGTGTTCGAATTATTTATATATAAACTCAAAGGGAATAAAAAGTAGTGATGCTAATAAAGGAGGGCGTGGTTCAGTGCAAATGGTGGCACTTCTGTCACGGGGATCAAAAGAATGAGGTATCCGCTCAAGTTATGTAGACAGGATAACATTTGTCCCGTGGAATAATGACGACGCCAACACAAATTAATGAAATCTAGAAAGATGCATAAATGTTCCTGTCAATTTTAAGCAAATTATGCCTACCAACAGAATCGCAATTTGAGTCAGCTTTTATTTGCAACAAAGTCAGACACTATATCGATTATTCTTATTCATGAACTTTTTCTCAAAAGGTAGGACCGATGCAGACTAAATTCAGTTCCTAGATGACCTCGACCAAGTTTTATTGAGATCGACCAAAAGGAAACTAAATTTTGTATTAGGGTCATCCGGGTGAAACTACTGTATGGTCTTTCTGTGCGCTTGTTTTGTGGCTGAATCGGAGGAAGATCTTCCTCAGATACACGCTGACTTCTATTTTCACATTGACTAACATACATGATGAATGCAGAACAGAGCACAAAAACAAAGTAAAAATTACACACAGAAAACCAAAGTCTTTTTGAGATCTCGTATTCGCACGAAACGAGTTCCGATGTTATGTTGTTTTGAACAAAAGTTTTATCCGAGCGGCCTTACAGATGATGCTGATCGGCAAAATGGTTCCCATGACTATCCCGTGCAATAAGGAACTTACTTGTCGGACAATAGGAACATCGCATGTTCGGAGCCGGTGATCGACCGAGAGGTTCATACGCCTTTCGCTGCCATCGGCTCTATATGAGGAGGGCTTTTTTCTCGAAGTAATCCGTATACCTTTATTAAACTTCAAAGAACCTACTGTTAAAGCTGTATATTCGTACATTGCATGATCATGTGGAGTCAGTTTCAGGACCTTGTAAATAAAGTACATTGTGAAAGCTTATGCCAAATTTGATTGCAGTTCAGCAAATCTTTGAGCAGAGGATCGTTCCGTATTCACAGCATCAATTTCTCTAAAACCACAGGCAATCTGGTAGGCAAAATGTTAAACCCAATTCAATGGTGATCGTCAAAACGTAGTCCACTAATGGCTAATTTCATACGTAGTTCAGCTTATGTGTATGTTCCCTTCCTAGCAGGGCTTAAATCATGACGATCTTGAGAATGAATTTAGCCACTCCTATCAGGAAAATACTAAAGACTCGCCTTCTTTCGACCGCCAACACATATTCCGATTTGCATTATTGTTTCTGATGCCGTCGAACTGAATTTTCTGGAGAGATATTTGGCTGATGCGTCTTCTCCATACATTTGTCTTCAGTATTCCGGTAGTCTAATCTGCTCCATTGACTAAAACCGATTTTGACTGAATTATCCGAAAGATGACGAAGTCTGGTGGAGACGTTTAGATATGCATTGATAATCTTATGGATATATATATGTATTGAATTTGAAATAAACTTTTCCTCTACAACTGTAATCGCATTTGAATTGGATGTAGTGTATAGACGAATAGTCACCGTGCGATTCAAATGACTGACTCTCCGTCGATGAACACTCCATTCGATTCAAATCAGAATACCGTTGTAGATCAATTGTTGGGTGCCCACGTATGAAGACGATTGGGCGAATCAGTACCGGGTACGCATACTCCATGAGCGGTGTTATGACTCAGCTGCTAGGAGGCACAGAACACCCGATCACTGAGTAGGTCTTTTCTTGAATAATGAATCTGAACGCGACATACAGGCACGTCTAACAAATAGATCGATAAAAGTAAATCGATACAAAATGAGCAATTGCGGCTTCGCGAATAACCGGACAGTTCAAACATTGTTGCGTGTGAGCGGGTATCCCGGATTGTTCCTACCCATTACGTTTTTTTCGAAATTGCGCCCCCGCCTCAGTGAAGCGCTGTTTTGAAGGAAGGATGAATTGATCTACCTATTTCAAATTGAAATTTCTTCTCAGAAACGGTGTATTGTGCATTGTGCATGTAAAACCGTCATTTAATGTGGAATATTGCATCCAAGAAGTTGATGCCTCTTTTGAGTTCCTTGTAACAACGAAGTTTACGTTGCACCTGTGGTAGGTTAAAAATGTAAGGATGAAATGCACAGTTCCTTAACAATATTGGTGGTAGATTCATGTCCGCGAAGGTGTAGGCTGGATATAGCATGATTGAGAGGTATTCCTTTAAGCTGCTTATCAATGTTATTAATAATAATTTAGTTTATCAGTAAATGCTCCTGTTGGACTTTCAACTAAAAGTCTTATCTGCTAATGGTAGTTTTTTGTAGGAAAGTGAAATTTCGTCTTTTTTAAGTGACGTAATGAGCAATCCGCAATCAAATTCTTCAAGTAAAGTGTTAACACTTTACAAGTGTTAATTAACACTTGATGGAAAACAATTGATTCTTATCCAAGAAATCGATGCTGCTGATGAGTTTCATGTTAGAAGAAAGTCTTTATTGCATCAGTAGGAGGTGAAGAATGTTGACATGTATTGTGCAGTCAAATATCAATGTTAGTTGTAGATTTATCCGCAAGTGGTTTCAGCCGCAGTATGGCATACTTGTGAGGTATTCCTTGAAACTGCATATTAATAGGCCTAGTAGTTAGTTTCCGTCAGACCTTTTATAAAAGATAGATATATCTACCAATGGTAGTTTTTCTCACACAAATTTGTAGACACTGCATGGTGGTGTAATGTGTACAATGACTGTAGTTATTATTACGTCTTTCCGAACGGACTTAGAGTAGCCTGTTGGTGGAATCGAAAGCTGTTTCCTTTCCACTGTGGGCGCAATCGAAGTCTGTTGAACGTCCATCAATTTTCATTGTAGCACGTTAATCCGCGACGAAGTTGGTATGCATCCTTTATGGTCACTAACGATGTCATTGAAACGCGTAATGAAAATGATGCATATGACGCACGAATAACTACTCATATGACAGTATTGTGGCCAAGGTTTAGGTGAACCGTGATACGTGCGTATCACGATGGTGGTGAATGTGACGTAAGTGCAACACAGAACGTATACTGAGTAACGTGAAAATAATAATGGATTACACCGCCTAACCGACCGCAGAATGAATGGAACATGTGTATGTGGAGGTGCACATACATCTATACAAGTGTACAACCATTGGAGAATGTATGTGTATATAATAGTCTGTAACATATGTCAGCATTGATGACGCCAATATAATCTTTTCTCAATAGGAAGTTCACTCTCAATACCGTCCCAGTTCTGTTTGTTGAGGCTTAGCTGCCAAACTTACGTGGGATGCTATTTCAAGCGGAGGGTTTATTGTGCCCTATCTGCAAATGGGCGTTTGTAGTTAAATGTGCAACCGGACTGATATGCGCAACTGACGGACTAATGCAGTTCAGGTATATATATATATATATATATATATATATATATATATATATATATATATTCGTGTACTTGTTCTATGCAAATGCCGCCAATCTTCCTCATGCACATGTGGCCAACCTCTTGTGTCAGTGTGCGAGGTCATGTTCATCGTTAGCATCAATCAGTATCCCAAATGGAAAATGTTTCCCCGCACTGTGGTTTCGCCCTTACGTAGCGGTGTAGTAGCCAGCGACATTTGCAAATAAAGTGAAGTGAGGTTTAACGACACATTTATACGTGCCTTGTTTATACTTAGACATCTGCAGTTAGGTGTGATGCGTGAGTGAAATGTACAACTCACGCGTGGGTCCGCGGCACATCTCCGTCATGATCTCATACTACTGGTGTTCATTGCCGCTCAAAGGTACCCACGGGTGGGTTGCCCAAACGTAATATATACATATATACATATGTATATATATATATACCTATGTACACGTTTACATACTTATTATTATCAATATATATATATATATATATATATATATATATATATATTCATATGGACTTGCATTGCGCGCATAAAAGCCACGGATTCCGAAATGATAACAAGGCTGCACAACTACAGTCACATTTATATGTGCACACGTACCGGTCCCATGTATATTGCGTTGTTCCGTTTCTATGGTCTTGCGTTCACATCAGTCCTCAGCAAACTTGCCGGTATTGTAAACCTAAACTTGACTGCTGTATCGGATGCTGCGCCTTTCCCATCCCCACTTATTACGCGTGTGATTTAACTAATATAACATAGCATGCCGTGGGGTACGAAGACTACTAACCCGACTCGCATTTAGGCAACTCTAATACCCGTTATATATTGTTAACAGCGCCTGTATAGCATTGATGTCTACACACTTAGTCCCCGTATTCTAGCTGATAGAACACCCTACAGCCAATTCCACCGGATAGGTTGTACAACCACTGAGGTTACATGGCAGTCGTTGATACGATGTACCCAATGACCCTAATTCGCCAATTGTGTACTTCACTACCCGTTATGAAAGGAAAACGTCATTCCGACTACGTCCATCAACCGTCAAACTACAACGCCCCGTTGCTGCGCACGTGAAAGAATACTCACGTAACAACGTTCCTAGTGAAGGATAGCGGAAGCGCCTGGAGGAAAACAACACGCTATCGAGAAAATGTTTCCCCGCAATACGGTCGTACGCACGAAGTAACCGGCTGTTCCCGTCCCACTAATGAACAAGAAGAAAAACATTTGAGATATCGAGATATATTTAAACGACCCCGTACGGCTGACAGGATGTGGGAGACTGAGCTAGCTATTTCCAGGAGCCCTAGAGACGAGATTCAGTGAACCTCTGGGCTCGCAAAATGTTTAATTATTTTGGTGTCACCGAAGATCCGTCACGGAGTAGACGGACATCGACCTAAGAGAGCATCGTGAGTTGAGCCAAAAACCAGCCAGATAGCTCCAGCTGGAAAAGGTTTCTGCTCATCACCTCTAAGGTGATTTAAGGAGCATTGGGTCGCAAATGACCTCAATGGGATTACTCACGAGTAAAGATGTGGGGTGTCCTCTCCCCGCGCTCTCTATCTAAATGCCTAACAGAGGGACAGGGACGTGCCAAAACTGAGCACAAGGCACGTAAAAAGTTGGAAAAATGTCCACGGACGCCCAATGACATCCATTAAATGCAACGACACGATCCAGAAACACCAATCGATAGAGCCTGTAAGAAATGGGAAACAGGGCACTCATCAATCACGGGGAGAATACAAAAAAAATAGGCAACAGAAAAAAGTTGGCGAAAACCTGCGGAAACGTACCGATCATCGGGCCAGGCAATGCACGCATACATAGTTCGCCTCATTGTGGTATCCTGCACATTGGACGTGAGCCCACCGCGGACAGTAAGCACATTGTACCCAAAGAACATCTTTGTCGGGGTCAACGGTGGGTTCCTGCAGCTTGCAAAGACTACAGACATCCTCGGCGACCGGCGAAGCCGTTACATCTATACGTCGTCGTTTCGCGTCTGTCCTAAAAAGCGTCGATGTTGCAGTACGCAGCCGACGGAACTTCAGATTACGCAGCGGATTACCTACGACTACCAGGTCATCATCAGCTGTATTCCTTACACCTAATGCACATTTCCTCCTTGACTGGGGGGCACTACCACTGGTTGACGGAGTATGCGAAAGAAAAGCTTTGCTGGATTTAGGTACTCGTGTGCCAGCGTCACCCGTTTCCCATGGGGCGACCTTTTCCTTATAACCGTGATCTATCATCATGCTAACCCTGGCTGTCGGGTGCAGACCAACAATGCGAGTATACCGCATAATCTGGTTTAGAGCGTACTTAAAATTATCCTCCCCCAAGTTGCTAACCGTTACAACGAATTCCTTCGCTGCATCCTCACATAGAGCTATCTTAGCACTTTTATCAATCCTTCTCCCTGACTGACGTTTGCACTGCATTCCTGTTTCCGGAACTGGAACCGGTCGAACGGAGGAGTACAGGCTCCATCTTCCTAGAACAACATTTTCCAATGAAAATGACATAACCCTAGCTACCGCTAGAAAATGGATGCAAGGAAGGCCCCACTGGTGACTGAATGAACAGTCGCATTGTGGATTTCCCAACCCAAAGGACACCCGGTGCTTTAGTCCCCTAGAGTTGCCAACCACGTATGCACCCCTCCTCAGGGTGATAGTTGTCGTCTTATTACGACGCACGTGCTCCAGAAAAGATTGACGAGCGTAAGCAGTCATTCGACACAACAGCGGTTGCATCCAATGATTACTTCTTGAAGCCGTGTAGGGTACCATCTGTTCACCAGCTAATCGCTCCCGCCGACTAATTAGTAGACTATCAAATCGTCGGACGATTTTCCTGAAAACGTCGTACAAGCATGAACGACGGGACAAGCCATCCTTTAGGTGCCTGTTCTCTATTTCTACTCTGTTGGTAGTGTAATTGCCATAAAGCAGGTAGTACCGCATGTAACACGCGGCCCAGTTGCTGCTGTATGGCATCCAAGTAAGTCGAAGGTATCGCGCGGCTTCCGCTGACCTCGCCTCGATGGCACATTTAAACCTATTGAAATTCTTTACACTAGCCGTGAAAACCATATTACGCATCCACTGGAAAATCCTGCGTTTATCGGCAGTGGACATCCCCGACAATTGCCAACAACGTTGCCGCATATCTTTTAATACATGAAACCGACAGAACACTATCTGTGATTCCGGGTACACACCCTTGAAGGCATTATACTGGGGAACACTGCGATCTACAACCACCGTTTTACACCCCCTCGACTGCGGTATTGCCTCAGCCAAATATTCTACAGCCGTGCGATAGCTAACACTGCTCTCATTAGGAAGCAGCGCGTACAATATACTATGTCCAAGCCCGGTCTCGTCGACCACCATCACGTGCCACAAAACGTATCCACCGTAGTTCAGTTGGTGGGTCGCATCCGCAAGCATCAAGTCACAAAACCGATCTGTCAGCACTGTTACGGCTTTCGGAACAAATAGAACGAATCTTATTTCATTGTCTTCATACAACACCTGTGACCGTCCAAGCTTTTCCAATAAAATACCTAAACGTCCAGTATCCTCCTCCGATGGCTTCCCGCGCAACCTATTACGAATGGACCTGAAGTCATCATAGCGCAATGACCGACCAAAATGACGCCTCGTATAATCCCGCAGTTCACCAATGTGTTGGAAACTTTCCATCAAATTGCACACATGGCGTTCTTCCGCTTCCGTCAGACGACGATTACGAGCATAAAAACCCTCTGCACCAAGGTGAAAGCTGTGGTTGTGCTTAAGACACCATTGCGTAACCACGTAAGAAGAACCGACGGCACGAACTGTGACAAAAGCCTCGCATCGCAGATCAGGGTATCTGAAATTGAGCACAATTTAACAAAAAATGAAACAAATTACCTCCGCCCATTACAACCAGCTCTTCTTCGGTGGACGCACCGATATTTGACAAAATAATATTTCATGCCCGGGGGAAGCACGACACCTCTCTTACCCGCTACTTCACTGGTCCGTGAATTGTACACGTAAAAACTGGAATTCGTTGCGTATTGAAACTCACGGAAGTCCGACCTGAATGCTTCCAAACTTGGATAGACCTTCCGACAAATGCGCCGAAACTCAGCAGAATTATCAACGCAAGCCAGCATCGCACCACCGCAGCCCAACGGCCGTTCCGGAAAAATCCGCCGCAACGAGTAAGCACAGCAATTTATAGCACCAATAAACCAATCACATGTGAGCAGCACGTTGACCAATGACCACAATCTCCCCATACAACATTTAATAAACACAAACAAATTTAGGGAGAATTCACAAACATAACAGTCTTCTTCGTAGAAGAAAATCACATAATTCTAGAGAACTCGGAAAACTGAATGCCTTTGCGTAAAATTCCATCACCACGTACAGACTACTTCACCCAAATCAAGGTAGGAACAATCCGTACTTCGGTGTGAGCGTACGCGTACGCGGGCTTGTGCGCGTGTATGTGTGTGTATGCATGCGCATAGCGTCAGCTGACAGTCCGCTCACCTTCCCCCGCAAATAGAAGTCGACTCGTAAGACTTTTTATGGGGATCAATAGAAAGTCTTTTAATAGGGGACCGGGAGCGCGTTGAGTATCGCCGCTCGGTAAAATAGTCAGAACTCGGTGGCGCAGGAGATGCCGTTTTCTTCTCTGTCACTGGTAATGCAAAGGTATCCAAAAGTACATGTAATGGTAGTTCTACCTCGTTCTTCTCATCTACCGCTGCAGCACTGTAACGCCTCCTGATGTGGTTGACATGTCGTTTGGCTGTTCCACTGTCTAACCGAACACCATATATCACATTACCCAGTCGGCTAACAATTACTCCTGGCATCCATTGTCTTGAAGGGTGACGAAAATCGAGAACATAAACACGATCCCCTTTGCTGAAGCTGCGTGGCCTTGCACCGTGAAATCTGTTGAAGCGCCTTTCCATGTGTTCGTTTCGAAAACTTGGTGTGACCGTAGGGTACATGGCATCTAACTGTATCCGCATGCGTCTGCCAAGGAAGGCTTCTGCTGGTGAGGCATTATTTGGGACTGATGCGTTAGGAGTTGAGCGATACGTCATCAGGAAGTTGTCAAGTATCTTTTGTATGCTTCCTTCCCCTTGCAACTTTTTGAAAGCCCGCTTCAGTGTGTCTACAAAGCGTTCCGCTTGACCGTTTGATTGAGGGTGATAAACTGGACTCCGTACGTGCTCAATTGTCATGGATTGGCAGAAGTTAGCGAACTCAATGGAGGTAAACTGGGCCCCGTTATCCGTGACTAGGGTTTCAGGAATCCCAAATTGAGCGAAAAGGCGTCTCAAGATGACAATGGTGCTTGAAGAAGAGATAGTTTTCATAGGAAATATTTCCGGCCATTTCGAGTAAGAATCAACTATTACTATGAAATACTGTTGATTCATTGGACCTGCAAAGTCGACATGAACCCGTTTCCAAGGTCCTGTGGGTAACGGCCAAGAGTGTAGCGGAACCTTGATGGGCGTCTTAGCAGCAATTGAACATTCTTCACAACATCTAACGTACTCTTCAATCTGCTTGTCAATGTTGGGCCAGTAAGCATAACTTCGAGCTAGTGCTTTCATACGTGTAATACCCGGATGACCACTATGCAATTGCCTCAGAACTCTGGTTTGCAGCGTCTTAGGAATCACTTTGCGTCCAGACAACATTAGGCACCCATCTACTATCGTGAGTGCATCTTTCCGACGATAAAATTGCATGATGTAATGATCGGTGATATTTTGAGGCCAGCCAGTTTTCAGAAAATGAATTATTCGCTGAAGATCGAGGTCTGATTCAGTTTCGCTTTGTATTGTAGTGAACGTGACAGGCAGATTACGGATTGACTCGCGAAATACCTGCTTGACTTCAAAATCAACTTCAACTGAGGATATTACCAAGTCTTCATCAGGTTGATTAGCTGAATTCCTTTGTATTAGGCGAGATAATGCGTCAGCATGTCCGAAACTGTCTGTGCGGATGTACTTAATCACAAAGTCATAACCAAGTAGTACCGTTGCCCATCGTTGTAGTCGGTTTGCGGTATGAAGAGGAATGCCTTTTTTTGTACCAAAAATGGCTAATAGTGGTTTGTGGTCAGTACACAGGGTAAAACGTCTACCATGAAGAAATTTATGGAATTTTTGAACTGCGAATACCAACGCCAGGCCTTCTTTCTCTATCTGACTGTAATTTCGTTCGGCGTTTATGAGCGCTCGAGAGGCGTGGGACACCGCCTTCTGTGAGCCATCTGGAAATTTATGGAGGAGCACTGCCCCAATGCCGTATTCAGAGGCGTCTGCAGCGACGATTATGGGTAAACGGGGATCATAGTGGATCAGCATCAGGGTGGATGTCAACAGCCGCTTCAATTCGTCAAAGGATGATTGACAGTCTTTTGACCATCGCCATTCGGAAAGTGTACTTTGGTTCAGGGGTATGTGAATTAGGAGAATGTTATTGCGATCTGAAAGAGAACAGAGAGAATTCATGAAAGAATATACATGACGCACGAAATTAGATGGATCAATAACAATATTTGTACGATGGAGAAACCCACCAGACAATTGAAGAAAGGTGGCAAGTACTAAGTCCGCGGGACGAAATTCCAAATCCTTCTTTACGGTGGTTCAGTTCAGTTCAGTTCAAACTACAATGCACTGGGTGCAGTGTATTTAGTTCCTATCTGCTGTCAACAGCCTTAATCGGGAACAATCAGGAAGCACGAGAATTTCGAAGGAGCATTAGAACAATTAAAATTTTGTTATCCAGTCCATAAAGTTTGTCAATGCAAGCGTTTCACCGATCCCGGCATCTAGTCATTCCCTCTAACGGATAAATCTACTCTCAGTCTTCGTGCGTGACACATGTCCCAACCACCTTAGTTTGTTGAGCCTAAATTTGCATCTGTTGATTGATCCTTGAACCGAAGAACTTCCGCCGAACCTCGATTGTGGCAATGTTCCTGAACCGTACAGAAACTCAGACCTTACTGCTGCAGCGTACACTCGATCCTTGATAGATAAGCCCACCTGGACCCTCAGTGAGAATAATAATTTAATGCAACAGAGGATGAAGATATCTATCGTTTCTGCATGAGTCTAGCTGCTGGAAATTGGGTAGCATCAGTAGCTTGGAGAAGGGTCTGTCCATCACTTTTCTGGATCCTTGGCATTTGACTGAATCGAAGGGCTTGTGGACAAGTGTGTGTGAAGCGCAGATCAATGGTTATCCATAGAGCTTACGATGCAGGACAGTTATGGCAAAACTTGGTAGGTTTGGTTTCTAGCCTTAAGGGAGATGCAGTCAGTTCTGTCATTCACAGCAACGACCACTGGCATCAACGCTACAGTCTTTTGTTGTTGCTATTCACGGAACAAATAATGCAAACCGCACACAGACGACTGCTGACTAGGACCCAGTCGGGTAGTGTAGGCTCAGCTATGCACAAAACGATGCCAACACCAGCCTGACTACGAGCACTAGGCACCAGATCACCTCGCAAGTGGAGAGTGAATTAAGAAGCTGGCCTGTTGCTTCGTTTGGTGAATTGTGCGGACGTTGAAAGCAGATAAGTGAAAGAACGGTTCAGGTCTGAGAATCGAGTCTCTTTTTCCCATGTTAGTGAATTGATTCCACTACTGAGGGCTAGAAGTTCACGGTCACGACACATTGTGACATCTCATATTCACTTTAAAATGGGAATGTGAAAGCTGATTAGTGGAGATGATAGATGTTTTCCGAGGAATCGCTGGAGATTCTTGGGCATATGTTATCCGTAACTGGAGGATCAGGTCTGATTTCACTGTCGAGAAACACGAAACACTGTTTTCATACATCGTTTCTCGTCCCAAATCAATTCCACGGATCATGTCACCTTCTACAAAGCGACATATTTGCTCTCTGCACCTCATACGTATGACTTCAAACACTTATTTACCTGTAGACAATAGGGTATTGTACTAGGTATCCCAACTAGATAGACGAACGAGCTAGTTTCAGGTATTTCGTAGCTATGTTCATGGAAAAATCACTTTTACGAAATAGTTAGCATGCATGAACCGACATATATTTGTGTGCCGATTACAATCTGTCGGTGCCATAATACACGAACTCCGTAGGCAGATCGCATGCGAGCTGATATGAAAACGGACCGGTTTCGTTGGTGATCTACCCGGGTTCACTGCAGAATAAAAGACCAATTCGCCTGCGAAACTACGAGCGGCTATCACATGGCCCAGTGCTTGGTTCAGCATATATCTTGCTGGGCATTTAGGTGAATCAAATTCAGGAGTTATCCGATAACGTTGTAATGGGCAGGGAATGAGAAGCCTTCAGTATAGTGTATGAATCGAATGTGCTACACAATTTTAGTCAAGCTGACAATTTCAGCTGGGGCCGTTGGCCTGTCTCGGTTGTAGTTGGCCATATGTACCGAATGTGAGCCGAAAATCAGTCTGGAAAAGGCCTTCAGAACATCAGCCTAAATATTCTTATTTAATATATCATACAGGAAATGCGGCAATGTCCGTTGTGGGAAAATAATACTATACTCACCATGATGCGTTCATTTTGATCACCCCGTATGACAACGATACCTAGAGAGATTCGCCTAATTTTCCCCCTGTAATCAAATCTAGTCAATCTTAGACCTTTAAATAGAATAATGCATAGAGCAATCGGTATTTGTGGTCTCGGGTTGTCATCTTATTGCTTGAACTAACCAAATACCTAGTACGATATATTAACTCTTAGCGTCAGATAATTCACTGGATCACAATGGACCATGGGCTGTGAAAAGTTATCAAATAATGACTACGTTGTTTCAAACAGAATACTCAAATGGATACCTAACTATTCAAAATTGCAAGATCAGTAAAACTTCCAGTATCAGTCACAACCAAACTGAATTATCGTTTGTCAGCGGACGCAGAAGTTAGTGTTACTCTCGTTACCTTTCACCGAACCATAGATCACGTTCACCTCTGGTGTATGGACGAATACACAGTTCTCTAAAACAAACACTCCCTGAAAACCATTTGTATACTACTGAAATCCTTTTTTGGAAAATAAAATATTCCCTTGTGGAAATAATCGAGAAATCCTTCTCAAATGGTCTCTCATCAGTGTGCGGTTCAGCCATCTGTGTACGATAGTGCAGCATTAAACCGTTGAGTCATGCCCTCAATGACCGAACGGACAGAACCCTGAGGCATACGGTCTCGATCCTCCTTAAACGTAGTCTCCAGCACACCTGGAGATAATGGTTCCGGCTTGAAGTCAACTTCCCCTACTTCCCCCCCCCCCCCCAATGAAGTCATTTTGACTTGGGTCTTGGGATGGAGCAGAACAGGGAGATTTATCATGCAATGACGCAGAAGGAAATTGTGGTAGCAGCGCTCAACAATGGTAACAGGTCTCGGATCAGAACATGTAGGCAAATTTCGCAATTAGTGATGCTATCCAAAAAGACAAAGTTGCTCCGACCTTCCGAACATAAAGACACCCAGAGAGACACTTACTCTCCATTCTGCTGCTTTACTTTCGTGAACAATGCACTCCCAATGACTTTAGAGATTGAAAGCCAGCTTACCTTCAATAATAATGCTTGAGTTAAAACAATTCTGACTCAAAAGTCTAAACGGTAAGTATCCAATGGTGATTCGTCCGATCTTTCTGTTCCGTCCCCATCTTGCAAGGTTAAACTACTTAGAATCCTTGTGGCATGACTACTCTGGTTCTACCCGTTTGATTGTAAGCCAGATGATATTCATTTTGTAGGCGTCCTGTGAACTTAGAATGGCACATCGAAGCTTGAGATATCAGACTGGAGTATACACGTTAAGCAGACCACAACCTTATTGGGCTTAGAAAATATATACCGATGTTAGAGTATGAACCTTCTGATTCATGGCTGATTTAGTGGAGGGGGTGAAATACTTTTCAATCGTGCGACTTCTGGAGTGCATTCAACTTGGACCGAAGTGGCTCATCTGCGCATGAATCATAATACGAACACTCATGAAACGTAAATCCATAATGTGTCCCATGGAAACACCACTTATTGTCCGTCTGTATTCATAAATCTGGTGGAATTGTCATAGACACGCGGTACCTCTCTTTCTGAATCAGGTCATACTAAATCAAATTTTTTTCATCAGTGAGCAGTTTACTTTACTGACATGGAAACATAACTGACCAGTAACCAAAGTCCGACATTTCCCTACTGATATTTTTTATTTCATATCGTGAAATTCGTATTTCTCATTTACCTCGTCGTTCTTTGAACGAAAATTCGTCATCACGAGCAGCTCCAGACATTTTATGGGTGAAGTCGTTACTAAATATTGTTGCAGTAGTCAGTTTGGTACTATCATCCCCATGAGTCGTTCCATTTACCTTGAACCCAGTGTACACTCTCTCATAAGTAAAACTTAGAAAGGCATCTACCACAGGTTGTGACAAGTCAGGTAAAGTAAACAGAGATATGGTTAACCGAGACAAACCACACACTGCACAATAACCTGCGATCTATATCGGAGTACAGTTCACCTGCCTCCTAACGGTGCGATCTATGGCAGACAGATAAACTGCTTTGTATTCAGATGGTGTATTTGAATTCGGCGGCATATCTTAATCTTTCGCCATTTGGTTTGTGGATCAGAATTTCATATGAATCCTTTTCAGTCAGAAAGTTGGACACTACAATCTTACTGTGGATGGCATATAACTATCGAACCTTGTTTTCTTATGTGATGATTTACCAAGTCGCATGCATCCAACAAGCTCTCACGGGTAAAATTGTGCCAATATTGTCACAAATGTGTTTTCAAAAACATGGTAAATAACGAAGAGATGACGAGAACAGCTCATTCATTTGTCCCAAAATTATTGATACTGTTTCGTGATGCACGGGATATTCAATCACAACTGTGTTGTCAGGATTTTGCTAGTTGACTTCGATAACACTGGTCTCACCTCCGTCTCACTGTTGATGCAAGCTTTTGGCCGAAAACAATATTTAACTGAACAATCTACTGGAGAACGGTCTGAATCATACTGCATTGAACAAATTCATAGCAACATTTTCCCCCACTTACTCGAACCATAAATCCGATCAATGTCAAAATTTGTATCTCAGTGGTCAACTTGGTTATATAAATGATTCTCAAACAGGAAAAAACTCTTCTAAGTTGAAACTCTACAAACTGCAATGTAGTTTATTCAAATAAAGAAACTGTTTTGGTATAACCCCACAATCATTCAAGTTCATTTACCTTCCATTGAAGTATTCATATGTAATAAGCATGTTCTATAAAAATTCACCTATAGGAACCAGTGGTTGAATGATTTTTGTAGGTTTGTTATGTGACTGAGGATTATTTTGCTCAAATTTTAGTATCGCCACTAGTGAGCTTATTGAATCCCTACGTGTGCGGCTTACTTTCTTCCCCTAATAAAGCACTTATGGTGCATGTGCTCTCAGTCATTTAGGAATCTCAAAGTGTAAGCACATGATGTGACCATCTCTTGTTCCAAACACTAACAAGTCAGCGTTAGATTTCTCATCAAATATGAAGGCCAAGGCATTCCATATTTCACTGAAGTCATATCACAAATTACCTTAGCTATTTCAAGTGATTTATTACTTGGAAAACGTACCATGGCGGACACAGATCTGTCTCTTCGGTACTTCTCCTCAGACAAGTAAAGTACACATGCGAGTTTTAGAGAGGATTCATTGTCTGACCCCTTTGAAACGCCTTGCCGACCCACGGTAGATGACGATAAGTGGCCCATCTCACGTTAGTTTGTGTCGCGTATCGATTGCATGGACCAGTATTACGCTGGTTACCGTCTTATTGATCCCTTTGGTCAACCATGTCGGTCAGTGTTCTTGAACTCGATCAGACAAGCGCCTGGTTGTTCTCCCGATGTATCTCGCTCCACAGGAGCAAGAGTAAGAATATAGACAGCATGAGGTTGAATATTCAGGCATCTTGTTTTTGAGTTTGATTTCCAGTTGTGAGCATGCTTAAGTGTTGACCGAGATTTGTAGCATGGCTGAGTAGAACGTATTTATCACCGCACTAGATATCCATCGGGTCAGTGCTTCTGTTACCTTATCTCGTTCGAATTCTATCCGAACGAATACGATCTTTTTTTTGGAATTTGTGGTATCTTGCCCGAGGATCTGCGTTCATATGCTGTTTGAGAAAACTATCTGGCTATCAATTTTCTCTGAGTGAGTTGATGATAAGTTCCCAAACTTTCGTAAGTTGGTCCCTGGAGCACATTCAGCTCCCTCTGTAGATCAAGCAACGCACTAACTTCCATTTATGTTGCGTGGGAACGAAGATTTCAAAACGAGTGTATTGCCCTACCCACTTCGGTTCATGATAAATATTGAGTTCCAATGACCCGCCTGCTGTTTGCGTATGAGGACGTCAACGAATGGAAGCACAGCGTCCTGTTCCATTTCCAGCTCAAGTCGCAAATTCAGATGTTCTACACTGAACGTTTGTAATAGTTCTTGTGCGGTATAGTTGGAGGGAATTAGACAGTGTCGTGTACGTACCTGTTGCAGATAATTTAACTGGTAATCACTTGACCCACTGTGTGGTTTTCGATCCTTGATATGAATATATATGCAAGCACAGGATCGAGTGGGGATCCCATTGCTTTGCCATCTTTCTGTCTATAGATGCTTCCTTCAAACCGGAATTTTACATTTATCGTGCACAGTTTCAGGAGCTCCTTGCATATATCGACTGGTATACCTACGTTGATGTCTTCTGTTGATAAGCATACACAAACTTAGTTTATGGTTTCAGCCAGAGGTACATTTTTGAATAACGAGTATACGTGGAAGGTAAGCATTTTTTGTGATTCGGCGTTTACATCCCTTATCAGGTCGACGAACTGGAATTTCTCAAAAGCTATGTAGTGAAAATTTGGTTCTCATCGTTTCCAAGAGTTCTGTGAGCCATGGCGCTATGTTGCGGTATGATGGACTCTACATGTCAAGTGGAGGTCGCATGGGAAGACCTGTTTTTTGTATTTTCAGTAGATCATAGAGTCTTGGGATTGTTGATCCAATAGGTCCTATATGCTCAGCTGTAGCCGCGTCTATCACATCTTACTGCCGTAACTTTCGAAGCTTGGTGAGTATGTGCCTTTCAATAGCGATGGTCCTGTCTTTCTCCTTAGTTTCGGTGAACTTGGTCGAGTCACTCAGCAATTTTATCATTTTCCCACGATAGTCGATTTTCGATCATTTGCCAGGGCATAAAATAAGCACTGTTTGGTTATCTCGCAGTTTCTTATTCGCTTCCAGGTGTTTTCGTGTCACTATGTTTCTGCTAGATACTGTGGCGTTTAGGTATTGCTAACTGCAGTTGTCAAAGCTCGACTTCAATTGATCCAATTATGTGTCTCTTGATAGTGTCAGGTCAGCTACCTGACTAAACAGGTTCTCCATCTGAACTACTATGTCGAACTCTCTTATATGGACAGCAAAATTTGAAGCCAAGTGATAGAGCTTCGAAAGTACCTTTGTCTAAATTAATGGATGTCGGGTTTGTAATGTACCTTTGTCGTTTCGGCCCGTGTCATTCTGTAGGCATTCATGTGGTGACTTAGCCTGCTTTTGCACCATTATTTCGACATAATCCTATAGTTTTCTTCGTTCAACTGTAGATAAAGTACTCAGTGATTCGTAGTCATGGAATTTATGATGTCCGAGCACAGCCATCTTCAGCGCGATTGTTTCGCTTTCGTTCAAGGCTTGTCTCTTGAGAGTGGTGATTGCTTGTCTCACGTGATGTCGGCGCATTGGTTTCCACATCGAGTTTCGGATAGCATCGATTAGTTACACAGTCGTCAATGCATTCCAGTTCTTGTTGTGTCACAGCAAGCTTTGTACCGAGCCCAACAAACATGTTAGGGCTCTTTAGCACACGGGACGGCTAGAAAAATTTTAGTTCGTGAAATATTCCCATAGTCTGAATTCAGAAAACGTGAGGTGGCGAACACTGATCCATCTTATCGGTACTTTCCCTCAGGCCAGTACAGTACACAGTACAGGTGATCCTGGTGGTTAATGCGCCCACAAAACTGCAACGGAAACGGATTTGACATACAGTTTTTTTGTCCCTTAGTGAAAGTGATTTTAGTTTATTGCATCTTTGTCTGAAAATATACACGAATCATGGTTACATATCCTACACAGACTAAACAGATTTCCGGTAATGCATTACGAATGTCACTGACGTTCTATGTGCAACAGCAAAAAACGCATCGATAGGGAAAGGCGTGGAACGGTTCCATCCAAATTGGTCGATTCAGCTACAGTTGCCGTTTCTTCCAGATGAGAAAAATTGGGGTTGCTTTGAATCTTCGATTGAACGAAATCAACTGGCATTCGCATAGAAGAAAGTGTCCATATACTTATTATGGTCCGAAAGAAGTGACTTCTGCCTTTGCATTTATATTCAATTGTACACGAATTGATTTTCCACAGTCTAACTTTCGCATTCTAGTAATTGCTGAATGGAAGGACCAAAATATTTTTTGAACGTTAGACATTACTGAGAAGTCCGCACTAGTCATGTAGCAATAGTACTTGTATTGGTATGGAAAACTGGATCACAAACGGTAAACAATCAACGAATTTGTTATTGTTTAAAGGACTAGTGGATTTCGGTCAGCCTCAGTTCATGCAAGTTTGCAATGAGATATTTTATCCGTATATTCGAGGCTTGAGTGATATTATACCAAAGTGAGATACGGAAAATGTAAAGCATTACCGGGGTATTCTGTGGATGATATCACCTTATGACGTCGGACAGGGCATTCGTCACATTTCCGGACAGCATTGTTTCGTAGGTATTTATTTGTCATTTCAAAAGCTTCAAATTCAGTACACCTGACACTAAGCTATCCCGTGTCGGGAGAACAAATGCTGCTTATCTTTGATTTATTGTCCCTATTATTATATTCGTAATCATACACACTTGACATTCTCCCCCCAACTTTATTAAATTACAGGATTACATGATTCCGAATAAATGGCTCCCCTCTCATTCAAAATCCAGTATTTCTAATAAACGTTTTATATGCCCGATATGGCTCACGCACTGCTTCAGGTTATTTTGATCAATCTAAAACCATGAGAACAGACTGGATACACGCATAAATACCAAAGCAGCCATCATGGCAGTGGTGTTTATTTCCCAGTCAAATTGCTGAAACGATGACGGATGATTTTCATTCTCACAATATCGAGCACATGGTGTTTTTGTTTGAAATGCGATACGCAAAAATTGTGTTCCCTGCTGAAATATATCCCAAATAATGCTTTGCATATCAAAATTCCTGAAGCATCGCTGCTGATATGAAACTGGAATTCTGTTCGGTGTCATAAGAATGAACACGGTCTTTGTTGATGAAGGAATGGCTGAAAATTCAGATTTAGCCCTACGTGAAACCTTTTATTCTCAGAATTAATCAGCAGTGTGCTGTAAGTGTTGTTCAGCCACATCGCGGTAAGGAATTTATTTGATGGCATCGCACCCTTGATACCAGGAAAACTGGCGCTGGCTTTAGTTTAGAGAAAGTACGGAAGAGGTATTGGACAGCGTAAAATGCCTTTTGCACCACACAGTTGTCAGACAATGATCAGGTTGAGGTCATCGCCGTAAGTCGGTTTTACTAACGACTGACAAATAACGATCCACATTGTGTGGACTGCCTTCAAATCCTCCTTTTCTCCGGATACCAATACTCCAATACTGGTTCGTGGTGGTGCTGCAATCTATCTCACAGTTCCTTCGGAGATATGCTTCGTCCGATTCATGATGTGCACTGACATTTGTCATTGTTTTCAACTTTTCCCTGACTAGAGCCACATTTCATTGCCCCAATAGCAACTGAGTCAGGCAATGTATCTACATTGCCCCCGTAGTCTTTTTGACTTCTGAAACGAACTCGGTGACAGTTTTCCACAACTCCGCTGACTTCGTTCAGCTTCCTGACTTTCTCCAACGCACCAGTAGTAGCTGAAAATTCCAGTAGTGATATTTCCGGTATACTTTCTTCAGTGTCTTTCTGAGTTTCCGATTGTTCGTACAAGATAAGTTCCATATTTTCACAGCATGATCAATGGGTTTATTCATACCGTTCAACATCCAGTGCCTTGACTTCCAGATCCAGAATTCTTGGTGCCGATGTCTTCTCCATAAATTCAGTGTTCATTCTTCAATCGTAGACAGGGGCCGTATTTACCACAGGCACATCAAGAATGAATAAATCTCGAGCCATGTCCGCTAGCTGGAGTACATCCGTGAATTGGCCGACACTGGATACGCGTACCATTCCACGCAGGGGCTCCGCCAGACTATCCCCAAATGGGTCAGCCAACATGTCAGCCCATGACACCTCACCTGGCGTAGACAGAACACGATCCAGCAGTGAACGGAGCGCGACGGCATGCAGCAGTGGGTCCACACCAACCCCCAACAAGGGTGACTTGAACCGTTGCATTGCATCCTGACGGTCGGCAGACGTGTCGAGTCCGGCAACCATGGCATGTTTCGTGACGGCCCACTTCATCTCCTCCGGATATCTTCACACCGTATGCAGCACCTTCGCACTCTGTCCTCAGGAATTCCGCGAATGGCAGCCAACTTGTTCCAGCCCTATTGGATCTCCGAAGGCTTCATCAAGGTCTCGAGCTTCTCCAGGATGCTTCCTCCGTCCCCATCTTCTAGCGGCTGCGGCCAACGTAGATCCAACATGGTCACAGCGCCAATTGTTTTGATCCAGAAGGCGTGCCCAGGATGTAGATCGTTGGGTTGCAAGAAAGGTGACACTGTTCAGGATAAAGATTATCAGATGGGAAATGAAATTCCACTTTGTTTGATATACCCTGACAAATATTTACGACATCAGCGTAGTTCATTAAAGTTCCGGTGGAGTCAGATGGGATATCAATATTACGGGTGTAAGGAAGAAGGAAAAAGCAAAACCGCCTGAAGAACGCGATAGTCATTCATTCGGAGTCTGGACAACTTACCGGTAAATACGAAGTTTAGGATACGCCCCTAAAATCAGTACGTTCTTCAGGCCCATAAACTAGATAAGCTACCAAAAGAATGATGCTTCTCTAATATCAGTTATTTTAGAATAAACTCATAGATTCAAGTGTAACTGTGCACTACATGACAGTAAAGACACATTGGGACACTTGCTTGTCCATTCAGAAGATATTCTAGGCAGTGAAAAATAGTAAACAATGGAGTCACTGCTCATCCAATAGCGGATACACTCCGTTGGATTTTTCCTTCAATATATGGCATTTTACTGCATTCTGACAACTATTAATTGTTTCACTTGTAAAAGCTGGGAGAAAGAATGAACTATTGAGAGACAGATACTGAACAGCACATCCGGCTTCCAGCTTCACCAGCCAGTAGGTCAACCGGAGCGTTGTCGAACAAAAATACGATATTGGTGTTTCATTGTCCAGTTGACATTGAAAGAATACCTTTCAGGAAAGCTGATGAAAAAATAAGTGTTTATTCTGAAGTGGTATTCCTAATATGGCATACCGGTCGTGGAACAGCGGTCAACCATACTGAGGCTTACAACACTGCTTGATGGCAATGTCTTTAGTCGATCACCATCGTGTCTGGGAGGACCTAATGTTGTATCTGGTCTCATTTACTTAAAAATGTAAGACGGAACTACCATGCTCCGGCAACCAAGTTGCCTGTTGATCTCGTCTCTCCAAGAAATCAGCCTTGTGTTGCTTGGCCAGATGATTGCATGATCTCTTCGTGGTTTACCCATAAACATCAATATTATCCGTAGAAGTCGGTCGAAAGACTCGGGTGTATCGGTACCCTCTCTCTTAAGTTTTGAGTCACCAACGTTCTTTACTCCCTGACCAATTCTTCTATGGTCCTAATCTGTGAACTTTCTTCACTTACAATGTGAGACTATATTCGTTTGTTCCATTAGGTCGATGATCTTTACATCCTCCACCGGGTACACTGAGGATCTTGAAGCACTTCTTCAGATGGTTACTTGAAAAGGGATGACGAACCAGTGTGCAAGGAACACGGGGCCGCTCTTGTGATTTACACAAGAGTACGGAATCCCGTACCTGAGATAGACAACTCACACGTGATTTGACCATATGCGATCTGAGTGTGTTTTGAAGGTTTGCTTGCTGAACCCTAGGCCTTAGTAGCTAAATAACAGGAACTGGCTGCTAAATGATTGTCTTATGGTCCTTTGTGGTAAATGTGATTATCTTATACTTAGGACATCTGCATTGGAAATATAGGCCAAACAGAGACACAGACTTTCAAACATTTCAGACTTCATAAGGTTTGCAATCATTTTTGATTCGAGAATTCCCAATACCTTATTCTTGAATGTTCATGATCAAAATTATGACGGCCTCCACACATGTCCGCTGTTCCGCATGCAAAATCTAGATGACCAAATTCGGTTGGCAGACTAGTAGGCTTTTTAAGTTCATCTGAAAATATTTTTGTATCATATTACGTTAGTATTATATTACCAATGGTCTTTATTATTACAGGCTACCGATTCCGGAGTGTAACCGCGAGTATCCGTAAAATTTGAATGCTTTATATTTTTCCTATATTGCCGATTGATAAGTGACTCTGAATAAGACGGTTCTGCGGCGCCCAATGGAGAGTCACGCGGATGGTGCTCAATGTATTTTACCAGCCAAAGATCTTCCAGGTATTCAAGGATGGGGTCTTCGCGGGCATTACATACAATGTGACTTTTGGTTTGCAAACGATTTCTACTAAGTTCTTAACATATCATAATGACTGGACAACTCGTGAACGGACTGTGTCATGTACCGTAAATTATGACTGAAAAGAATCGCTCGCTTGCCATACAGACTTTTTTTCCCAAAAATCCCTGGCTTAAATGCGGTCAAGTAACTGGAGGTAAATTTGTGTCTGACTGGGAAACAGTTCACGTGAGTATATAGAATAGTATTTGAGTCGCGACTCAAAACCAGATATAGTTAATAGGAGACCTGATGTTTAAACTGGAAATGCTCGTACGGAGCAGTTATCATTCGGATTGCAGACATAAAAATAGATAATCTAGGCTCGCACTTGCATTTGAATGAGTTTTCTTTCTTGACGTCCAAGAAGAACCACTGTGGTACGAATGGCGGAAACAAGGGTACTCGCTACATATATCAATATTGTAGAATGCCTACATCCAGTTCCTAAAATATTGTCAAGTCTATCCGGTGTCAAGGCCAAGTTCAAGTGATGCGCTCTCCTCAGAAACCAAATCAACTAACCGAGGTTTATTAGCGGTACTACCAACAACAATGAATCACAGTGTTAAATGTACGAACGTGAAAACCTGGCGTTCTCAGGGGAATCACTGTCCACTCAAGTTCCGTACAGATCAGGGAAGATAACACAAATTAGGGTCAATCAGCCGAGGAAGACGAGTCACTAATTCGGGTGTCGAAAGAGCACAAGAAAGACAGACAATGAAAGAACACGTGTTAAGGGGCAAAACGAAGAGATAGGCGAACAATTTTTCAGAACCGGAATCGGTTCGGAATGTATTGAACAATCGATGCTCCATATGAAATTTTATAGTAAAATTGTATTGTTCAGTAATACAGGGTAGACGAAATCGTTGATAGGTTGTCGACGTTTAGGTCACTACGGGTAACCTTTTTCAACACTGATTTTTACAACCGAACGAAACTGGAGACTGGAGAAAGGCGAATGTGCTGACAGCGATTGACGAGTCGACCAACCTGCGAGTAGGCCAGGCATTCACTCAGGTACGCAAGGAAACGATTTCTCAGAGGGTTGAAAAAGTCACAGAATCTTGTGTAGATGCGTGTGTACGTAGGTGTGCGCGTGTTCATATAAGCCTCCCGAGTGAAGCTGATCAGAATTTGGTGCCCAATTCAAACAGTCTAGTCCAGATCAAGGTAAATCAAGCGAATAATGGTTCAGTGTGTGTGTGTGTGTGTGACGAACGGGAAACCCTTGTGGGAGCGGAGATATATCGTGAACTGATAACAGTGCAACCATGTGGTCAACGACTTATGAATCACAAACATCGAAACAGGTTCAAAAGGGAGCATAAGTTGGTGCTGACGAATGTACAGGGTTGGAAACGGACAAAACAGATTCAACAATCATATGACAATTATTTGGAGAAAACAGTGTAGAAAAACAGCACTAACTTTGTTCTTGCCCATGTATCTCTTCTTAATAATTTTACGGAGCGACAATTTTCGTCGATGGTTGTTCGATACAGTGAATTGGACTGCTATTTTTTTTTCTGGAAAAAGATTATATTCTGTGTTTGGGAATTCCATATTAACAGAAATTCACGAGGAACAAGTCAAGGTTTGGTGAAGTATAATTTTGGATATTAAATGGCCATTTACCAGTGAAGTCAATTTTGGTGTGATGGTACCAATAATAGAACTAGAAGTATTCACCTTTCGACCAAGTATTCAATAAATCAGTTTTTGAAGTGCAAACTGGCGCATCGGTAGAGTGAAAGTGGTTATTCCAATATCCTCAAAGACGTACTGTCTATTCATGGACAACCGGGAACGCCGCCCGGAGAATAGGATTAGTGCACAACGAAAGGCACCACTAGGTCGGTTGTCGTACCGATGCCTTAGACCATCAAAATGACCGGTCGTCTCTGTATTAAAGTCTCTGAATTACAACTGTACGAAAACAGAATTCGCTTCATTCTTTATCTTAAGAAACACTGAGCGTATTCAAGGAAAGATACGCATGTGTAATAAACTACGTATTGGAAGCTTTTGGTTGTTTTTTGCTCTCATTCTAATATATGAATATGTATTACATTCATATTGAGAGCTCCTGGTTGTTTCCTACTCCCAATTTATTATTTGTCCTAATTATCTTACTGAGTGCGTCATTGGCGTGGCCCCGCGATGCATTACTTCTGAAACCATGTGAATGTGTAATCTGCGCAGTACTCTGAGCTACATTCATGATGAATTGGTGCTAGTGGTTATAGGCCTGATATTCTGCAATTGCTGGAATCACAAAATTCCCACTTCTCAATCGAATTTTTATGTGAATCGAACCGTTTCTTCAGTATAACCGCTAAGTAACATAGGTTTTGTCAAATATTTGGGAATCACCATGCCAGAGTTTTTGATACGGCCGAGGTACATTTCGCAACCTACTGGTAAAATAAGTTGTTTATTTCTTCCGTACAAAAGCTGATGCATTCCAATGATATGGATTACAGTTTCATAGTTTCGTTTCGTCTTTTCTAACAATTTCTCCCGAAAGGTTGCACTGGTGTGGGGAATGCATGGCTCGAGCATTCTCGTCGATGAGTATCGATCGGTAGCCAGCCGGGTATATGTCATTATACTCAATAAACTAACTGTTGAATCATTTGAGTTACACTGTATAATGCGAAACGATTGTAAGATACAAGTATCTGTTGTGGGCGCCCTTTTGACTGGCTGTGCTAGGTTTCTGGAATGAAAGTACAGAATT